AAATAACAGAGACATTACTATTATAAGTGAAAAGAATAATAAAAGTCAGTCAATAATCATTATATTAAGATAAATATTTTTCGAGTCATCTACAATTATTATTCAAGGACTTATATTATAAAAGTCCTTTCATAATAATTATCAGAAAGATAAATATGTTTAAGTCTGCAAAGACTTTTATAATTCTTACGAAAATATTGATGCCCTTTTTTTAAAACTCCACCATGAAATTATTATTCTGGGTCTCTGAAAAATAAATTAAATTAAATTTAAAAAATAATAAAAATAAATTTAAAAAAATTAAAAAACCCACAAACTAAAAATTACAAAAAGAACAAGATAAAATAAAACAAAATGAAACGAAATAAAATAAAACAAAATAAAATTAATCAAAATAAAGCTGAATAAAATGGAATGGAATAAAATAAAATTAAACAAAATAAAAGAGAATGAAATAAATAAAATAAAATCAAATTAAGTTAAAAAAAAAATAACTTAAATAAAATAAATTTAAATAAATCCTAAAACCCCATTAGGCCCCAGGGCACCCAACACTCAAACTTAAAAAAAAAATTATACTAAGGCCATAATTTATTCTCCCACGTACTAAACATAAAAAAACGCTAAAGAAAAACTGATACAATTTTAATCTTTAAGAAGATCACTTTTGAACAGTTTTATTCCAATGAAAATTGAGTTTGAATGTTCTTCTTCATAAAATTACTCAAAACGAGATTGAGTGTTGAATCCTGAACCTTTAAAGCATGACCAATTAATCCCGTTATTCTTCCTTCAAAAATAAATTTATTGCCTTATTCTTTTATAAAAAGGTTGAGGTTTCATTTTGAAGGATCTTTTGGAGAGGCTCCTGTTTATGATTGGCCAGCAATAATCCGCCATAATTTCTGTCATCCTCTTTACTTTCATAGTGCTACTCCTTCTGTTTCTGATGAAACTATTAACCCATTTCTTCGCTAAAAGCTTACAAATTTCCTGGGAAAAAAAACCAATATGAGAGAAAATAAAGTGCAATTTTATATTCATAAAACAAATTAATTGCTAAAAATTCTGTAGCATGGTGGCGACAAGATCTTTAAAATTTGGATCCCGATAGTTTCTCAAAAAATTTTGTCCAACAAGCTTGAACCTCAGCCAAGCGTCACTTTCCACAGGTGTCATTAATGTTACAAAAATTTTTCCCTTCAAAAGCTAATTTGTTATTTCATTCTCTGTGGCCATTTGCCTCTTACCCAATGCTGATCCCTTGCAAGGCTGTTTCGAGGATAAAGGAAACATGGATAGTTAGTATTTCCCGGTGGTCAACCTGATAGGAGAATGATTTATCATTTTAAAATCGCCACAAATAAGCCACTGATGGTTATTATACTTTATCTCAAGGAGGTATTTCAAACTGTCATACGAATTTCTTTTAGTTGAATGGGCGACGGGTATCGCCGATTATACATATCCAAGCGTTTAGGCTTTCTTTTAAAGAATCTACGAAAAGCCGTCAGTAGTCCTGTTTGTATACATTTGTTTTATATATATAAATGAGTCCTTCGATTTCATTGCAATATACGAGATCACTAGAAAATTACTTAAAGTGTTCTTACACGACCGTTTGACCTGTAAAAGATCGAAACTGAAACCGTTTCAACACAGGAACTGGTTCCAATCGGTTTTGAAAAAACTATAATAATCAGACTCTGGATCTGGCAACCACATACTTGTTTTTCTTCAGTGGCATAACTGTGCCGTTACACAATCAAGAATTTGCTTTCAAGTCGTCCACACTGCTTGTCAAAATTTATTTGAATTGGCAGCTGTGACGTAGGCTGTATGCAATTTGATAGTCAATTTTCGTTTCAAGATGGCATCGGCAAGGAAACAACTTAAAATTGTAACCTCGTTCCCGTACACACATTTATCTGACATAAAATCTGACTAAAATCTGTAGTACTGGAACAGATACAGAGGTTTTTTCTTGATATGAATTAAGATTAACTGCAACTTTTAATGTCTCAAAAAAACATTTAGCAAACCCATTTAAGGTACATATTTATTTCATAAATAATATTTTTTGTCAAACTTCTTTTTATATTTTTATTTCAAAAACAAAACCGAAGCCGGAACGTTATATTGAACGGTTTCATTCCTTAGGAATGACTACAGTTTTACGACGACTCCTTACAGCAAATAACTTTTATGTGAAGCTTTATGTAAAGTCTGAATAAAAAGTTTGTTGTTGTTGCAAAATAATAGGGGTGTAATACTTTATTTTATTATTTTTTATAAAAGTCCAGCTGGTTATACAACAAACACCTTACAAAATCCATATTTCAAACTTTGTACAAAAATTTTAAAAATTCTGCAAAGTTTTACCAAGATTTCAACTTTTTAATGAGGATCTTTAGAAAAAAATTGGGTATGCAGTTTTCTAGCCCATTAAATTGTAGTAGCATGAAGTGCAAGATTCATGTTAGTAAAAAATCCCGTCGATTTTTGGGATTTTTTTTTTTTGTGTAAAATGTTTCGCTTTTTTTCCCATACAAATTATGGTCGAAGTAATCTTATATATAAATCTTTACACCCCTTTCACGGCTAAACTATACTTCTAAGATATAAACAATGGTATATCATTACAAAGGTATTTTGATGCTGATGTGCAGAAGATGAAGCAACCAAAGAACACCTACCTGCGAGTTAATGAAACAAAAGCTGACGCACTTAGATGGGTATGCATGACCTAATTTACAGTTAAAAGAGATAGTAACACGAATACATAAAAGCAGAAGGAAACACGAACTATTCATAACGAAATATGACACTGAAGATGGCACAACGCCGAAACCGGTTTGTCTCCAAACCAAATTTTACAAGGGATGACGGAAAATCGTTCCACAATACATCATACTCCTACCCTGTCGGAAAGACAAACAACCAAAAAGAAGTTATGAATCTACATGGTTTTTGTTAGATAATGAGCTATATTTTTATAAAAAATAAAAAATATTAAATAAACAAAAGAAAAATAGGAAAAATTTGTCACGACATTTTGAATAATTTATTTTCCACCACTGTATTTCTTGGACAACTGTGTGTAGTGTTCTTGCATAAATGTTCTATCATTTTTGAAAATGTAATAAAAAGGATTTGCATTTGTCTCTGATTTTGAGACTTCAAAAAATTGTCAATTTCAATATTCAATTCTCCTAAAATTTCACATTATTTTAGTTACTTTCGCTTTCTACTACTAAATTTCAGTATAAAAATAACAATAAAAAAGTATTCTCTCTATATTTTCAGTTTGCAAATCGATAATCCAAACAAATTCTTCTCCAAGAAGCCAACCATTATCTATTGAAGCATCGTTAAATATATAACAAGAGGTTTAATTAATCTTTGATTTAACTCATATTGAGCAACTAATATCAGTTTTTTGCATTACAGCGCGAAACCATCATCAAATACTCAAATACTTCGGTTTAAAAACAGACAAAAAAAAACAAAAATAATAATAATATATTTACCACACGCAATAAGAATCATTGATTTGTAAAAGAAATGGAATTGCGAGTTGGTAATAAATACCGCCTGGGTCGAAAAATTGGCTCAGGTTCTTTTGGCGATATTTACCTAGGCACCACAATTAACACAGGCGAAGAAGTCGCCATTAAATTAGAATGTATACGCACGAAACACCCTCAACTGCACATCGAGTCGAAATTTTATAAGACCATGCAAGGCGGCATAGGTATACCGCGCATCATCTGGTGTGGCTCTGAAGGTGATTACAATGTCATGGTGATGGAGTTATTAGGTCCATCATTAGAAGATCTATTCAATTTCTGTTCGCGACGTTTTTCGCTAAAAACAGTACTATTACTCGCCGATCAAATGATATCACGCATCGATTACATACATTCTCGTGATTTCATACATCGAGACATAAAACCGGACAACTTCCTCATGGGTTTGGGCAAAAAGGGCAATCTAGTTTATATAATTGACTTTGGACTGGCGAAAAAATTCCGCGATGCCCGCTCACTGAAACACATACCCTATCGGGAAAACAAAAATCTCACGGGCACTGCACGCTATGCGTCGATCAACACACATTTGGGCATTGAACAGTCACGTCGCGATGATTTGGAATCGCTCGGTTACGTGTTGATGTATTTCAATTTGGGTGCACTGCCTTGGCAAGGCCTGAAAGCTGCCAACAAACGTCAGAAGTACGAACGCATCTCAGAAAAGAAACTGTCGACGACAATATTGTCGTTGTGCAAAGGCTTTCCAAGCGAATTTGTCAACTATTTGAATTTCTGCCGTCAAATGCATTTTGAACAGCGGCCCGATTACTGCTATTTAAGAAAACTCTTCCGCAATTTGTTCCATCGCCTCGGCTTCACCTATGACTACGTCTTCGACTGGAATCTGCTGAAATTTGGCGGACCACGCAATCCGCAAGCCATACAGCAACAACAGGACGGTGGCGGCGAATGCCAAACAGGACAAGAGGCGTCCGCATCACAACAACAACATCAGCACAATCAGAAGCAAATTGCTGGTGGTGTCGCTGCCGTAGGCAGTGCACAAATTATTAACTCAGGTGGAGGTGGTGGCGCACAAACGTTGGTTAGTAGTAGTGGTGCGATGGTTGGCGGTGGTGGCACTTCCCAAATGGTGGTTGGCAGTGGTAATGGTGGCGGTGGTATAAATATGGACGATTCGATGGCGGCCACGAACTCATCACGTCCCCCATACGATACACCAGAACGACGTCCATCGATTCGCATGCGTCCAGGTGGTGGTGGAGGCGGCGGCGGTGTGCAACCGGGCGTTGTCAACGACGTGAGAAACGCAAAATAATATTTTATTGTTTAGATTTGAAGTACATATATAAATATATATATATATATATATATATATATATATACTATATATATAAATATATATATATATTTACGTTTACATAATTGAACGCTAGTTAATAGAGTATAGGTCAGGTCGTCTTCATATAGATTTAGAAATTTTAGATTTTGAAATTTGTTTAATTTCATTTCACTCGCTGAGCACTGGTCATTGTTGGCGTTGTGTTTGAGTTTCGAAATGACAAACCGACACACCAACAATGACACAGTACTTTTTGCCAAGCTGGAAAGGCAAAACGCGCTAAGAAAAATTCATGAAATGTATAGAAAAAACACAAGCCCACATTAAACAACTTTAAAGCAGTGATAACTCACTAAAAATCGTAACAAATAAATATTTAGGGAGTTCACAAGGTGTTGTTCTGTTGTATGTCGTAAACTTTAAAAGCTTAAATAAATGTTTAGAGGACTTCAAACCACAGCCAACTACTTTTCAACACTATGAAAATTCATATTATGACTTATGGTAGCTTGCGAAAACCCTTCATATATTTTTAGCCGTTTAAAGTTTACGACATACAACAATACGACAGTATACATCACCTTGTGAACTTCCTAATTATATACAAAATTAATTATCACGCGCAGTAATAATGCATAAATATTTAATGGAAAGAACTGCGTTAAGCTGTTTAGTTGGCGCAGTAAAACCACCCACTTATTTCATGTGCTGCAAAGCAACAACAAAACACTTATAAATAATACACAACTTTGCAAAAATCTGAATGCAAGTACATAGTATGTATTCATTTAAAATACACACACACAAACACTTTATATACATATATGCATACTAGAATATTCATATATAAAAAGTACTTCTAATATATAAGTTTATATTCCTAAATTTAAACTGGTCCTCTAGGCATTGTTTGCGAATCTGAAATCAAAGCATGGCAGAAAAGTACCAACAAAACAAAAAACAAAGCAAAGAGAAGTTAAGCAGAATAATCATAAAAATGAAAAAATACGCAAAAATATATAACAGAGAAAGAAATTAATGTGTATACTTAAAAATAGCAAAATGAAACAATGGATGTAATTAACACAAAAATAATATGAATGATTCAAAATTTATTGAAAATGTACGTGAATAGCCAGTCAGTCAGTCCGACATTGCTAATGTGAAATTCGATGCTACATAAAAATTTATAATTCGTGCAAAATGTTATGCGTACATACACAAATACATATTATGTAATTGAATGAATGAATAGTTGTAGGTAGTTGTGCGAAAATTTATCGAGCCTTTGTTGCAGGAGTGTGAGCACTGCATTGTTACAGGCCACCCTCTTCACAAAATATTCACATGCATACCAATAGGTTTGCATTGTATGTATATTTATATATAAACATTCTTTAAGTTTAATACCTATTCATTATTTTTATTAAAATGGAAAGAAATTCTGAAAAAACCACTTTATTTTGGAAATTTTAAAACAAAAACGAAAAACTGATTCTATGTTTTCCCTTTTAACTGCTGCTTATACCTGGGGCATACCATTTACAGTGAATTCCACAAGTAATGTACTATAAAAGCTGGTTCTACATTAGATTTATTAGAAATCGGCTGTTGTAAAACTAGCGATCACGTTATATAATTTTGTTTATTGAGTTTCAAAATGTACATATATGTATCAACTTAAACTGGGCACAGTTTACTAGCTGGGAATATTTTCTAGATTTTATTTGTATGTTTCGAACTTATTAACGGTCAACCAGTTTTAAATTGATTTCAACGAAACTGAGATTTTGATTCTTTAATGCTTGAATTATCGTTTGTGATTTTTTAATCGCTGTCAATTGTGTTTCTCAGAGCACTTGAGACTCCCGGACTATGTATTGCAATATGCACACCGAGGGTAAAATGTTTACCATAACGCAAAGGAACAAATTCTTTGCTACGTTGCCTTTGTGCATATCGTTAGTGTACAAAAAAGCCACGACTAACTTAAAAATCTTATATTGCATAAGATTGGGATTTTGGATTTTTAGTTAGTTACGGTTTTTTATATATCAGCGATG